CTCTCTCTCTCTCTCTCTCTCTCTCTCTCTCTCTCTCTCTCTCTCTCTCTCTCTCTCTCTCTCTCTCTCTCTCTTGTGAAACTCTCCCAGTCTTCCTCCTATTTCCCCTGTTCTTCTAACCTTGGAGTCTTCTTCCTCAATGTGGCTATGGCCGAGGGTCACCAGGTAAGCTTCCTCCACCCTCAGGTCTCTTCTCTCTTAAGAGTCTTTCCCAGTCTTCCTTCTATTCTTCCGCTGTCCTCCAGCTATGTCTGCTAACCTACCACCTCTGACTATGGCTGCTTGCCCAAGCACACTCTCTCCTCTCTTGAGGAAGAAGAACAGCATGGCACACTACAGCGCTGGGCAAGGGTGCAAGACAGAATTTGTTACGAGCGGACTGGCAAAGAAGATAGATTACTTTGACGCTCGTTATCGGCACCAGCAGCTGCTGCTGCTGGGCTGAGGCTGTTCGACATGTAGCAGGCGCTGGATCCATCTGCAAACTGTGCCTCGACTGTTGGGTGTCAATGTCATCTGTGGCCAAAATTGACTTCTTGATCCATTCTGAAGAAATCTTTGACTCTTGGCTTACTGGGTCTGACGGGGCATAACTGTTGACTTTCTCAACGATGTGTTACCCGAATCCAGGCCTCGCTGGCACAGTAGGCAGACCTACCTATTCTCACTCCAACTGGTCTGAGAGACTGAACCCTATGCCTCTGTGGACTGGGACCTACTCTAAGACGGAACCATGCACCTGTTGGACGCAGGGGTTTCTGTCTTTCGACGTGGTCCACCTGCACGCCAACTCCCGCCCCTCCCCCCCCTGCTCTTCTTTAGAAAGGAAGGACAGTTACAGTAGCCCGGTGATTACAAATTGCAACGAACAGATGCTGTCATGGCTCCCCAGGCTGTAATGTGGCTGTGCGTCGTGAGTGGGTTTCTACGTATTCTCTGACTTGCTGGTGAAAAAAGAACCCCACTGATGGTCCCCAGAATGGATATGGAGCTCGGTCCAAGATGGCCTTTAGAAAAGAAAAAGGAAAAAAGCACGGTGATTCCGAATTGGAAACGGTAAAAAGTAAAAACCACTCAAGTTTAAAAAGTTGAAAGCAGCCCCAACAAAGTTCGACTAAACAAATGGAGAGAGCTCAATACACGCGAACAGGATAAGATGCTTGCACGACTGAAAAAATGTTTTACTCGGTTTCTTCCAGCGGCCCAAACCACTCACAATGGATTTCTGCTCTGCCTCCACACCACAGACACAACCCCCGCTGAGTCCCATTCAAATATCTCACCTGGTCACAGAGAGCGATGATGTTTTCCATGTCCTG